TTTTTACCCTTATAAATATTATTGCCAACGCAACCATAAACAGATTAAAAGCATCGAGTCACGTCTTTCAGATGAAAATCAGTGTAGTTAATTGCGAATCAAAACAGATGCAAAAGGTTAATAAGAAGTTGATCCAAATTACCACGGCTTTTGTGAATTTTGAAGCACTTAAATATTGGTTTTTGGGCCATTCTCAACGGCACTCAATTTGAGTTTCATCGCCAATGGAAATCCAGTTGGAACTGACATTTTCCCGTCTTTTCAACCCCACGGTTTTTCCGACTATAACGGCAGGCGAAGGACCGGTGAAAGAGAGAGACGTGAAAATAAGTAAATATAATCAAATTTGAACTTAATGAGCGACCCGGAAATCATTTTCAGCACCATCAACGGGGGAAAACCAAAACAGAATCATAACTGTAGCATAAATTAGAGGGAGAACTTCTTCGCAGGAAATTCCAGGCGACTTTTTCCGTTATCTGCTTTCGCTTTCCAGCAGGACAACGAACTTTCTGTGGGTATAGTCGGAAAAGCCGGGAAAAATAGATGGTAGTGGAGGCCAACGGCAAACAGAGAAAAACATCCAAATATTTTGGCTTGGTCAATATTGAGTTAAAATGAATGCCAAGCCCCTCTACCTTCCCTTTAATAGTCCAGCACAATGGTGTTAGCTTTGTTCATTGGCGAAAAAAATAAATAAATAAAAAAAAGAGGCTGAGAGGGACGGAAAAGTTTCAACAAAGCGTCCAACAAAGCAATCATCAATTTGAAATGCTCAGATGACGGAGAGCAACGCTTATATGTGTACAAATATAAGGACTTCCCCAGTTCAATGAACCTTTTCTTAACACTTAATGGTAAGTAATTGAGCTGCTGAACATGGAGAATAAAAACAAATTAATGATTTTTTTTTGTAATTAATGACGAGACATTTGGTTTGTTATTTTGAAGAAGAGAGTTCAATCATTTAAAGTTTCAGAGATCATTGATTCTTTAAGGTCACAATATTAATATTATTACTTCATAGTAAAGGAAATACCACCTCAAATCTTAGTTTGATGCACCTACTTTGGAATTTCCAATAGCCCAAAGCCCTTAACCGATACGATAATTTGCTTCATTCACCAGTCGATTGGCATGTGAAGGGAAACGCAGCGAATTGGGGGGGAAACCAATGACAAATAATTAATTGCGCACACGGGAGGCACGGGAGGTCCTTGAAAGCCCCCTCAGCCTATCCGGGGCTGTCAGTCAGAGCTTTCGTCCTGTGAGCCGTGTGTCAGCTGTCCGTGGAATCCTGTTTCCATTTATAAAGAGCACACAAATGTGCGAGAGTTTTGCCGGATGGCGGATGGAGGATGGAGATGGCCGAGGAGATAGAGATGGGTATCAAGAGCTCCTTCGGCTCCGGCACCAATTAACTTGGGCGTATTGTGTAAATAATGTGTTAGACATGGTTACACATTCATGTGCCGGCCATAGACATGTCGTTGGCATCGTCATCTCCGGATCCTGAAAGACCCCCTCCGATACCCCGACGAGTCGAGACGGAAAACCCCGGGCAGCGATACGATTTTGATTGCACTTGGCGCTCTAATTGAAGACCGAGACAGGAGTGAAGAGCGAGGAGCGAAGAGCGAAGAAGGGCATCCCCAAAATGGGGCTGTTGACATTGATCCATTCCGATTAGACGTTGAATTCTGATGCCTCCCATGTCGATGTGGAACCGATGCCAAAAGCTGTTGCTGTGCTGCTTGTTGGTAATTGCCATCAAATCGAGGGATAAAAAGCCAAAAAAGAAAAGGATACAGTGTGTTGCACTGCGAGAAACGAAAAGTTGCACACAATATAATGTTCTGAAAAAATATATTGCGCTGATATATCAAACATCATTTTTTGTTAAATAAAATGTCTGATAGAAATAAAACAAAAATCATAGTTGGTCTTAATGATAATAAAATTCAATCGATTTGAATTCTAATTTAGTTTTTTAGTTTTTTTTTTTAGTTTTGAGAAGCCGGAGAGGATTAGTTTTTCTTCGAGCGTAGGAAAAGGCGAAGTGGTGTCCTTCCATCCATGGACTGACTTGTGCGCCATGCATGTGACGACAGCTCAGCAGGATATTTTGTAAATCATTAGTCAACAAAATGATGGTTGTGTGTGTAAGTGACTTTCCTGGCCAGTGTGTAAGTTTGTTTTTGTGTGAGTGACGCCATTATTCCCCTCCGCTTGCTCTTAATATACCCGCCAAAAAGACCAGATCTCATGGCTTTATAATATTCCACATTCCAAGTCTGATGAGATGCGCCACCTGCTCAAGATTGCCCTCAGTTTCGATGTTTTGAGTGCAGTCTGCCACCGATGTCATCAGCATTATGAGTGGGTGGTTCTTGGGTGGCTTCTGGGAGAGTGCTGATAGAACTAAGAGCCCCACAAGTCCAGTGACTAACTACCAACTATTTAACGCCTTCATAAGACCCTCAAAGATCCCAGATTATGAGTAACACACATTATTATATTGAAAAACGATTTTTGAGCACCTTAAAGATTTTTGTATTACCATAGTTTACATAAATATTAAAGGGTTGTTATCACTTTCTAAAGTTTATTAAATATACAAATTTTATTATCCTTTAAAAAACATTTAAGTTTGGCCGACCATTTAACAAGAAACTACTTTATATTTTTTTTTTTTTAAAACAAAAGCAATATCGTAGTGCACAATTTGCCCGGCGAGAGTTCAGTCAGAGGGAAAGTCTTGCTGAAGGCATGAAAATGGTTAAAAGTTTGGGATGGAGGTGAAAGTTAGAACGCGGGAGTGGTTGGATGGGCGCAAGAGTGGGCTCAGGTCAAGGGGAAAGGCGAAAGGGGAAAGTGGAATGGGGAAAGGCGGCGTTTTGTGCTGGTGGCGCGGCTAATGACGCCAACACTAGGCGGACGTTTAATGTATGTGCACGTAGCCAGGTCCATTCCGCACACCGTCTTCCTCGCTTTCTCCTGCTTCTATATCGCTATCTCTTTCTCTTCACACACACTTACGCACGCATGAAAGTCAAGGCAGACAACGTCAGATGCTAGAGCATTGCATTACATAAGCGACGCAAAACTGTATGCTACACTTTTTGATGGCCACCCATCCATCTGTGTGCGAGTGTGTGTGTGTGTGTGCTATTTCTGGCCATGGAAGGCACTGAGGAATATGGGGGAAGGGAAGGGGGAAAGGGCACGGGCAAGAGAAAGGAGAGGGGGGAGGGCGGGGGAAAAGGACAGCGGTTGAGGGTCGACAAGGATACGCACGGCACGCCACTCAAAAGCCATAAGCCCGGCAAATTAACATGCCCAAATTATGACAAAAGGAAAACGAGGCTAAAACAAAGGACCAAAAATAAAGCTGCAAAAGGATTGGTGGGGAATGGGGGGCACTTTTGCTGCAGACCGGAAAAAGCAAAAGTGAGATTAGAAAACATTTCTGATAACAACCTTTTTCAAATACTCTGCAAATGTTTATCCTTATTAATAGAGATGGCAAGCCAACAATTTCAAGCAATAATTCTCTATTCATCATCCTAGTTTCCCATAGCCAACGAATATTTAGGAAATCATAAGAATTAAACAATAATATTTCAACCCCTTATAAATTTTCCATTCCCTTAAGAAAAAAAAAACACCGAAAATTATATACATATTAGTTGCCGCAGCCTAATTAAAATTTGTAATAACCCCTTTTGTCTGACGCATTTTAAGGTTGAGGGAACATCAAGTACAGATTACGCATACGCCCCGAAAACCAAAGTTGAAACTGAAACTGACTCACCGAAGCACCGCCACACCACATAGAACTGACATAATCAGAGATGAGGACACGGTATCCAACAAAACACCAACTGGAACATAATGGGCAAGTTTTGGGCAAAATGGGGGTATAAAGTAGACGACCAAAACGCTCCCCTCACCAAAAAAAAAAAAAAGTACTAAGAACCGCAGTCACCGTAGATATAGTTTAATATACATATAACATGCTCGTGTTGTTGCTTTTGCCTTTCACTGAGAAAAATAGCACGTGAGTTGAGGCCAAGCATCTAGTTTTAAAATCAATAAATATTACACCTGTTGTTTGTTTTTGTTTTAAATTCAACCATAATCATCTCAAATATTTCAGTAAACTTTTCATAACTTTACTATAATTTTAAGTCGGCTACTTATTCACGTTGTTTTCAGTTTGTAAAGCAGGTAAGGCACCTCACACATCATAAAGAATACATATTCCTGATCAGCATCACCATCTAAACCGATCGAGATATGTTCATCTGTCCGTTTCTATATAAACTAGTCTCTCAGTTTTAAAGCTATTTCGAATAGAAAAGGAAAATATTTATTTCGCCGTAATAATATATATATAATAATATAAATATTTCGAATCAATAAGCACATATTTTTATCAGTGCCTTTGGTAAGCCAGGGGAAATTCCCAAAGTGATTATATTAATACAACATGAGCCACAAGTATGTTGCATACATTGAGGCGTGCCGACTTGAATCCATGACAAAACTTTTGCGCCATTCTGTGCGTGTGAATCTGTTCCTCGTGTATGTGTATGTATTGGTGGGTGTGAGTTTCTGTGTGTGCCAATGTGCGTGTGTGCCATTCATGGCGTATGAAATATACATAAACCAAAGGAGCCAACGAACCAGCTCTAATAATAATAAAATAATAAAATCCAAAACAAACTTTTCACCATGCTCAAAACTTTTGGGTGGTTTCTGCGAAAGGAAACCTGTAACCAAGAAACTAAAAGACTAATAGGATATCTGAAACTTAAAAACTTCGATTGCGACTGCCAAGCCGCAATCAATGTTTGAAAACCATTTTTAGGGGAATTAAGTCGACGGAAATTTTGTTAATGTTGAACAAACTGCCTCATAATTGTTTAAGTGCTAAAATGCCTTTTGACTGTTTTTTGGTATGCTAGTTCTTTTTGTTTAATTCGATTTCAACTTACCGCAACATTTAGTTTATGTTAAAGAGCGTAGTTTCCTGCGCTGAACTGTAAATTGAAAAAAATTGTATATATTAAAAACTGAATAGTTTGCAGTATGCTTATGTACACATTTCCATTCATGGAAAGCCCACATTTTTCAAGTCCCTCAGCGGCTGCAGTTTTGGCCTTAATTTTCTAAATCAAACAAAATAAAAGAAAAGACGAGCGAGCTCTCACACAAGCACAAATGATTTTTGTGTGTGCGAGTGAAGGTCAGCCCTGCTGCGTCTCCGAATGCCGCCACCCCCTCGCCCCCCAACACAATAAGATAAAAAAAAAAAAAAATAAAGTAAATAAAACACACACATGCAGAGCGATGCCTAATGAACTAAATTTCCATTTATCCGCACAACTTTTCATTGCACTGCAAAAAAAAAGAGCAAGTCTTGCCATTACATTACAAAGGCAAGTAAAACAATTTGTTTTAAACTAGTTTATCATTAAACATATTTCTAAAAACTTTCTAGCACCAGAAAATTTTTTTACGATTTTAGGCACTTTCTACTTCACATTGCTTATCTTCGGGCCCGTGCATTTGCCATTGGTGTTCGCTGTATATTTTCTGTTGCGACTGCCGGAAGCCTTCCCCACTTTACCACCCACAAAAAAACAACCCATTGCCTTGCCCTTGCCTTGGAAAATCGAAAAAAAAAAGAAGAAAAGAAAGAACGTGGCTGAAACTCAGCTGGCGTTCCCTGCTCGCTGTTTATCTCGCTCGCTGTGCACATTAACCTCTTTGTTAATCATTTACAAACAAATGCAAATAAAATAAAATACAGCAGCCCAGGTGAGGCGAAGGCAAAGGTAACGAAAGAAGCAACAAACAGCGATGACGACGACGGCTATGCAAATAAAAAACGCTGGCAAATGAGCAGCGAATTTGCAAAAAGGGCAGGTCGTAATACAAAGGGGAAATTTTTCGGGGGGCTACGGTCTGGGATAAGCTCTCGAGCTTTACGGCATACACAAAATAACGGGGCGGCAAAACGAAGAGAGTGCCACGCCCACACAGGATTCTGGCTAAATACACAATGAAAATTGCAAACTAACCTTTATTAAAATAAATAAGTATGAGGAAATGAGAGATTTTATTTCAAAAAGTATTTTTTTTAATGATACAATTAATTTTATTTATTTTGCACAAAGTTGTAAAAAGACTGAGTGGAGAAAAACAAATTTTTTTTCTGTGTAACCGATACCGGTTTCGGGACATTAAAAAAATGATTCGACAGTTGAAAAATTCATCTTGAATCGCTGAATAATTCAGCGAAACTTTTGCGACTCTTTTCACTGCAAATTGCATTTTGGTCTGGTCACAACCAGAGCTCCTGTGTTGACTTTTCAGAAAACTTTCAGCCAACGGTGGGCATGGGGTGAAGCTGGTAAAAGAGGTTTTCCACAGCGCTCCAATTTCCCAGCTGCTTTTATATGCAAAAGATACTCGACTTTATGCTGCTGCTGCTCTGCATGTTCATAATTAGTTTGATGATGTCTGCAGTCAACCCACTTCCACTTTCTCCCCTTTTTCCTTTCCCCGTTTCCCTATTTACCACCCGGTTTACTATCCCTTGATTTTAGGCCTAAAACAACTAAAACACCTTTTGATCTGCTCTAATTAAAAAATAAAATCTTGGCACATTGAGAGGTAAGTAAGTAAAACCAGTACACATGTAGATAAATTAACCAACTATCAGTCAATTGGTAATTCAGTCTTTCAGTCATTATGTCAGTTGGTCAATCAAGGCAAAAACGGTGGTTTGGGGACCACCTTTTGGCTTTTCAAGCATCACGGCTGCTTTAATAAAATTGTTCACTTTCCCCGTGCTTTTGTGTGTGTGCCTGGTGAACGCGTGTCTTTGGGTCTGATTCGATTTTCGTTGATTTCCCAGAAAATTCCACATTTCCCCAACCAACCCCCACTATTCAGAGCTGGTGCCTAGGGGCTTGGGTTTGTTGAATTGACTCGCTAGCCTCCTTGTTCCGGCAGCAATCTTTGGTCAAATCGAAAGCGAAAGCCATGAGATACTTCTGACTGGCTTTCAGATACCTTAAGATACTTTTAACTCGAGTACTGCTTGCAGCTCTCGGATAAACATGGTAAGAAGTAGTAATTACGATATGCACTTGAGCATTAAGTAGAGATTAGGAAAGCTGTTCGATTTTGTTATAAATTCTGCTCATTAAGTTATCAGGAATTTAATTTGCGTTCCAACCAAACAAGCTAACCAAAAAAGCTTTAAACTGAATATAAAAGTAAAGTAAGATCAAATTTGTAAAATTAAATAACGGTTTGCATGTGACGAGATATTTATTATCTTTCACGCCTACATTAGAAATTGTATCCTTATACATACATAGCAACAGTTGCAAGCTGCAAATTGTTAAATATCCAGTCTGTCAAGGGTATCTGTATCTGTAGTATCTGAGAGTGTCCCCGGGTCGTATCTAATCTTCCCTGTCATGTATCCGCCGCCGTTTGTGTGTCAGGTAATTGCCCGGCCAAAAAACATGTTACCCACTACAGGCAACTTCATTCCCCAAGCATTTGCAGTCCCTCCAAATTTTGTTTTCCTCAGACATTTATCAATACACGGAAAAAAAATATGCTAGAGATTAAATCACAGACAAATTGGAGATTTATAAAAAAATTCGGAGTTCTGATTAAATAAGAACTTAAGGATAATAATGTACTTGAACTGCAATTTCGATATAAGTTTGTGGACTTGAGAAAATCTTACACCCTAATCCAATTAACTGTTTGGTTATATTTTCTCGCAGTGGAGTGTCAGACGTCGCGATGTCCATGCTGTCAACGCCATGCCTCCTAACGGTTTATTTGCAAAGCGTTCAAACTGTGAAAATGGCGTGCGGTGCGCGGTGCTGGCCATAAAAAAACATAAACCAAAACCCCAAAACAGAAACAGAAACAGAAACTGAACTGAACGAGGAGAGAACGGCAACGACGTCAGTGAGTCAATAATGTAATTTTCTCGTTTGATATTTCGACGACATACACAGGGAGTGGTGGGAAATGAATGAGGAAATGAGCTAAAGGCAAGCCATTTAATGAAGCCAACAGCGTTCCTTGAGAGCAAACCCAATCAGGTTAAAGGTAGCATTCGAAAGCCCAAAACAGTTGCATCCTAAGGAAATTTTAGGTAACTAAACTCTAAAAGCAAGCAATAAAATTCATTTTTAAAAACCGGTAAAAACCTCAAAGTAGTTTGCTGTGAATTGACTTTCAATCAGACATCACACACTCACATCAAAGCAAAAGTTAAAACAGTTATAGTAAATTTTCAAAGAACACTCCAAATTTCGGCAAATTTTCAACATCACAACTAGGCGACATTTAACACTATATTATCGCAAGCAGGAGAGTTTTGCAAATTCCATTCAGAGAATAGGACAAAATGCCGTTCAAGAAGCCATTGAATAATCAAAAACCGCTGGTCGGTCCGCTCAACTATCAAGAGCTGCAAGAACTAGACGCGATGTATCCGATCAAAATGGATATACCACCAAATCTTAAAATTAATATCGATTTGTGCGACGTGGAGCTGCAGTTGCAAGCGGAAATGGGTAAGCAAAAATACAACAAACTAAATAATCCTTGTGATAAAACACTATTCCTTCACATAATTTATATTTACCAAGGTGAGCTACAGCGCATTTTTGACCATTTGGCACCACCTCCAACTGCTGGACGAGATTTAGTGGCCAAGGCCACCAACAATCGCGGCGAACGCAACAGATCCAATCCGATATTCTTCGACTTCGATGAGACACCTCTGCCACTGGCCCATGCTTCGAGGGGCCAGCGCAAGAGGACCCGAACACGCAATCCAATCCTAAATCCGTATGACAGTGAACCGGAAGTCGAGGAAAACCCTCAAGTTGCCGTGAAAGTTGTGGAGGAACCTGCTCTGGCTGTCCCGAATCAGCAAATGGATGCGAAAAATAATCTCCTGGCTGTTAAGTTCTGCAACCTAATGCTCGCCAGGCTCTGGCGTCGTCGAAAGGCCGAGGTTTACGATCTTCACGCTCTCGTTCGCAAATATCAGGATCATGTAAGTTTACTTGCAGCCCAATCATTGATAAACATTTGGTTGATGATTGCTTTTTAATATTTCCCGAAGGCCGCTCGCACCCAAACCGAGCTTTTTACCCGAAATCGAATGATCCTAATGGAGCAGCGACGCGGTGATCACGCGCAACTTAGGCGCACCTTCAGTCGGCTTCAAGAAGCCATGGACAGTTGCGCCAATATGGACAGTGAACTGAAGGAGTTGCGCCTGCGCGAAGCCGCTTTACACAGCGACCTGGCTGCCAAAACGCAGGAATGCGAGTACTTCGCCGAAATGCTGGACACTTGCCGCTCCGAAATGTTCCGGGAGTTGACCATTCATCGAGAGGGAGCCAGCGAATTGGCCAAGCAACAGAGGCGAGCCCTCGATTTGGAGCGTCAAAATGCCCAGTTGGAGGACGATTTGCTCACGATCAAGGATCAGTTTCTGTCGCAAAATGATGAAATGTCGGTGGTCCTTGGCGAAAAACAGCAGCAACTGGACACAGCGTACGAAATGCTCAAAAGCTACGAAGAGGAATTGGCTGGACTCGAATTGTAAGTCTCGTTTTTTAGTCACAATTAAAATAAATAAATTAAATGCTTTTAAAAAATATATTTCCCACTTGTTCTTAGAAAATACAAAGAACAGCTGCGTCAAAAAGCGATCGACGTGGAATTGCAAAACGAGATAATGATTCTGAAGAGAAATTTAGGCGTGGCACGCTACTTGATCTTCTACCTGACAGCCCGGGAGTGGGGAACTTTCCATGGTTGCGTATACCACCTGGTGGCCGGAACATTGGACTGTCTATCGCCCGCTTTTTGCGCACCGCCGATGGCTAACAATATGCTCCGAGTGGCGGTGGCTGCCGTCTTCCTGCTTTTCACCATGTACTAATTCATTTTGAGGACACAAAAGGGATTCTAATAAGGATTTGAGGTTGCATGGTATTCAAATACGATTTCCAGGACAAACTACAACAAATTTGTTTTACAATCATTTTAGAAAGCTTTTCGTTGTCCCTTTTTTGTCACAGTATTTTCGCAACTAAAAAATTCGAATAAAATTTTCCCTAACCTGAGAAAGAAAATAAGTTTTTTATTATTAGTTATTCTACTAAAAAAAAACCCCATAAAAGCGAACTCACGTGTGTGCATGTCCATATCCCATTTGGGTTTTCCACCTCACTTATTTGCAATATCTGAATGTGGCTGTCCAAATCTATCATTGCTTGCGGTCAACCGCGAATCACAATTCATTCTAATTCCGAGTTGATGTTCAAACAATTTTGACAGTTTGGTAGTGAATAACTTGGCAGATGATTGTGGCTATTGGTTTGTATGTGCCCAATTAATCAAACGATATTTTTTGGCCCAAAACTAGATACAAAGAATGTAAATGTATTTAAAGGGATTGGCTCATCAAGCAAACAGTAACTGGTTGTAAACCAATAATTTTAATAAACTACCTTAAGTGAGCTACCAATAAAACTCTATTTGCCATGGGCAATTTCTTTACTCTTCCGTGATAAGCAAAAGTGCGGAAGGGCCTTAAAAGTTACGCATACGCCGCGTGTTCAGTTCGACGACGATTGCCATTCAGTGGATGGGCCCAATGTCATCCGAATTATACTGAATCGCTAAATCAACTCAAGCGAGGTGAACTGAGTCGGGAGCACAAAGGCCTTAACTCGATAAATGCATTATACAATGCGAACCATAATTGTCGTACTGGGTGTGAAAATCCGGATGGAAATGGAATTGGCAAATGGAACTTGGAGACATCGTTGCAGTCACTTTATTTAGATAAATTATTTATCTATAATTGATAAATGTAATTCGACCATTTTTTATATTGCAAACTAAAATATCAAACAGACACCTGCACTCTGAATGCACAATGCGATGTTCTATATTCATGAAAGTATTTTGCCCTCCAGCGTTTAATCTTCCAACTGGTAATCCTCAGCGTTTTTTGATAATTTATGATAATTCGAGTTTATTTACTGCCTACATGACCATAAATTGTTACCAAGCAATTTCCATATGGGAGATAACAATATTTCCGGAACTGGGCATTATTATCTATTACAAAATGTGCCATGTTTTCGGTTCGCGTTGAAAACCTTTTTATTCTTAGATATTTGCAATATGTTCTTCGTAAACTGTTTGTTTTCTTGAAGATGTTATCTTAAAAAGTATTATGGATATACATTTGTAATAGTTTTTAATAAAATCATGACTCAGTGGACTGATGACATATGAAATACCCGTAATTAGGAAAGCCATTATATGGCAGAAATTTGAATTTAATTCACAAAGACGTTTATCAACCTATACTTACTTAAAAATTTTTGTAACAGTTATATTGGTTCAGATTGTATCCGTTTTTTTTCAGTGTACCGATTATTATTGTGGATGTCGTTTAAACGTTTTACTTACGTATTTAATTAATTGGCTTATACATTTTTTATTTTGTTCTTTGTAACCTATTTTTGTTTGTTTATTTTGTTTATTTATTTTGTTTGTTTTTTCCCACCTTGCAAATTTTAGTTTAAAGAGCATTGCGCCATATACAGTTTGATAAGTCTGTCCTCTCTTCTCATTCCTACCTCTCTCCTTCCCTTGAGCCGTTTTTCTCAATTTGTTTCATACAGGTGACACCCGATTGTTTTTGGTTGCACTTTTTTCGTGTTTCACACTTTGCACAAAGCACTGAGTTACTGCAAAAAGGCGATCGCAGTTAAAAAATCGCACAACAACAAAAAAAAGGGCGGCTGGGGGTGCACAATAGAAAAAATCCAACCTGCGGCAATTGAAACTGAAACCAAAATCAAACCGAAACAAACACGTTGCTTCCCACTCTCTCACTCTCTTGTTTTTCTCTCTCCTGTTTATCGCGGATTATAGAACACACTAACGGGAAAAGTTTCGGCGGACGACCACTGACTAACTGAGAACGGAGAGCCGGCGTCGGAGAACTAAGCACTAGGAATGGGGAGAGCGCTTTTATCTTAAGTACAGTAGTCAGTCCAAATTATAAGCCAAAGATTATTAAGCTACATTTTTTTAAAAGGTGCAGACTTAACGCATCTTACAACCTCTCTCTATAAGAGAAAAATTAATATTTTAAAAAAATGTAAAAAAAAGTTATTGTTGCAGTTCTAAAACTTTTTTTTAGAACTAAATTTTTACAAGAATATATTTAAAAATTCTTATATGTGTTAAGTCTTTTCTTCTTAACAGGGAAGTACTGCCCGGCTCTCTCTGTTGCAAATTCTCATTCCATATTTTACTCTCTCTTTCTCTGCGTGGGTGCTGATCGTGCGAGCGAGAATGCAAATATTATTATTGTTTTTCTCGCCTGCCCTCTGTACCCTTTTCCCAGCTCCAAAAGTGGGATTGTGTTAGTACGATGAGTATGCGCGACGGTGGTCGCCGTAACGGTTTGTTTGTTATTTTGTTATTATAGCTTAATTGCATAATCCTATGCCACCCAACACCCACTGCTCATCGGCCACCTCCCACCCCCTCACCCATTCCAACAGGGTTGCAGAGCAAACAAACAAAAGGAAATTGGGTGAAAACACTACTGATCGCCACACTTGCCATAAAATATCTTAGTGAAGTTGCAGTACACACATATTTATTTTTGCCACTTAGAATATGTTTTTTTTTTGTTTAATTTTAATATTTGTTACAAAAATTATAGTTCTGAATAGTTTATTATTCACTTTTTGTTGCACTGTTTTTTTTTTCAGTGCAATTTAGCTGCGACGTCTACAGAGGCCAAAACAAGTGGCTGCTGTGTGTGCAAACGAGAAGGGGCGACCAGGTGACGATGGGTTCGAGCGAGAAAACGTGCAAATTTTTGTTTGCTCTGCCGACGTCGTTTTGCGTGTGTAAATTTCAGTGCTTCAATTTTATGTGTGTTTCTTCCTCTTTTCCCCATCATCATCCGCCCTCCGACTCCCCCTCTTATTCGTGTTTGCGTCGGCGTGCGCGCAAGTAAATTTCTTCTAATTTAATATTTTGTTTACATTATTTATTCATTTACTTATGTATTTGCGAAGCTTCCTCTTGGCGCGTTTGTTTGTTTATATATTTCACCTGGTCCTTCCCCCCTCTCTCCTTTTCCTCTTCCTCTTTCATCCCTTCTTTTCTTCTTTTATATTCAAGTTTTGGTTAATTACTTAAAATGTAGGCCCATAGATCCTAAATTTTAATTAATATAAAGATAATCAAAAAATAAATACATAGTATAAAAACATCTTTAAGCCTTCCTATAAACAAAAAGTTGTTGCCTATTTAATAACAACTTCCAAGAACTTCAAATCAGTGTTAAGACTCAACACAAAACAAATAAACAAAGATAATCTCATCTTTCTTTTCTTTAAATTCAATGATCGATTTTTATATTATATAAGGAATTATCTCGCTCCTGTTTTCCGTAAATACAACATTCTATTACTTCCATAGAGGAAAGGTTTCTATCATGCCAATATCTAAAGAAAATTCCTTGCAAGAAGGATTTTGATATTTTAATAGCAGTTTTAGCAGGCAATATGTTTTTAAAACTGCAAAAAATAAAGAAAAACTTGCAGCTACATATGGATGTTAAATAAGCAGTGTACAATGTTGGGAGCACACACTATGTTTCGTTTGAAATTTTGTTTGGCCTTGCAGGATGTAAGCTTAAATGCGACGCCTAAAAGCGTGCTTTAAAAACTAATTCCGTCTTTGCAACCCCCACAACACACAAAACTTTTAAAATATGCAAATCGAAAACAAAAAATACGCATTTTCGCAATGCTCTTCTTACCTTTGATTCTCCCCTTGTCGCACCTTTTTCTCCTTTAGTCCCTCTTCTTCGAATCTTCCTTCGCGTCTGTCTGTCGGTATGTTTGTGCTTGTCCGACTTTGACTCCGTTTTGTTTATTTGTATATAATTTAATCGTTTTGTTTGATTTTTTGCACTTTAAAAAACTGGCACCGCAAAAAAAACAAGAGTTGTTTACAAACTCGCTTGTTAGACCCACGGAAATAAAACAAAGAAAATAAAAACAAGAGCGCAAGGCAAAAAGGAGTGACAAAAAGCGCGTGTTGCGCTGATTTATTACGGGTTTCCAAATAAAGTTTTTTTCTTGGCGCTTTTCGTTTTGATTTTTTGAGGTGGTTACTTTAATGCTTTCAAGTTTTCACCATCTCCGTTCGTTACCCGGAATTTTCTTTCTTTTCATCTGTTTGTTTTTATTTAGTCTGTTGTTGTTGGTTTCCGCACCATAAATGAAAATCCGCGTCCGTTTTCACGAGAAGTGTTCCCAGATGGCGAAATGGCTTTCCCGCAAATACCCCAGTCCAAAAATGAAATGCTACTAAAAAATCCATACTTTCCCCCAAAACGTATTCTTCAACCCATGGTATAAACGCGGGTTGAAGCATCGGATTTTGGAACTAATGGGTTTGCGTCCCGGACTGCGCTATTTCCTTAAAACAATGACTAAAAAAGTTTTTTTTTAACATTTTATCATTCAGAGAAGGGCTGTTCTCTTATGCATGTGTAAATTGATTTTATTGAAATAGGGAAAACAAGAATTAAGACAATTGGTGTGACCAAAACACCTAACGAGCTTATAAATATGAAAAACGAATCTCGTGCCAAGGTTCAAATCTAGCATGTTTGTATAGTTTTGCCTGTGTTCATTCTTAAATAAGCACGATTTTAGATACTGGGGGATTTGAAGACATGTTATTGGTAATTGGCCCAAAATAAACACTTTTTAATATATACAATTTTTCGATATCTCACACCGTTTACGAGGGCCTTAAATGTCGGATTATAGTGCGGGCGTGTAGCGGGCACGCACTTATGCATTGATACAAATGCTATATAATTATTAAAGGAAAAAATTAAACTAAAAACTGAAAAAATATATTCGCTCCAAAGTACCAACAAATCGTAGGCGAGAGGAGGGCCCTATTCGCGAATATCGCAAGTTCCGTGAAAAATATGTGCAATAAGTAATTGGCATATTTATTTCGCCCGCACTATAATCCGACATTCAAGACTTGGTATCTCGTAAACAGTGCGAAATATCGAAAAATTTTATTTTTATTGTGGGCCAATTAACCATAATATGTCCTCAAATCTTGGCGCCCCAGTAGCAAAAATTACCCTCTTAAATAATTTAGTCGAATGGAATCGTCAGTTAGACGGATTAAAGCGGGTTAATAGCAAGGGACACAAAAAATCAGAAATTCATTTCAAAAACAAAAGCATAGATCAAATAAAGTGGAGGATTGACCTCTCTCGAACAGGATTTGATTATTTAATGTTTTCAGGTTGAAACAGTATCTCATTATTATTTTTTTTGTTTCTTTCTTAATACAAAAACTTTTTGTGATTTAAAATAAATCGAAACAAAATAATAATAATAATAATAAAATTTAATAATAAAATGTAAGCTACAAAAAATAAAATAAAAGCTCGTGGTTAACCAGTCTGGCAGCTCACTTTATCTATCGATACACACTATCGATTTTATCACTATCGATACCCACGGTCAGCTGTTTTCTAAACCTATCTCTTTTCTTGCACAACAATTTCTGCGACTTTTTCAGGGTATTTTTCAAGTTTGCCGGATTTCCTAAAACAACATGCGTCTGACAAATGTTTTATTCAAGAAAGTGAAGAGCAAGTAAGTTATATTTTTAACAAAAAGTTGATTTATTAATATAATTATTTATAAACATCAATTGTTTTACAGGCGTATCATGGTTGTGCTGGAAAGTGTGGTCAGTGGACATCAGTATAATGCCTTTCGCGATCGTTTGGCCGAAAAATTGGAAATAATACGCTTTGATCCCTACAGTGAGTACTGTCATCGAATGATGAACACGTAAAAAATCTAGCCCCTTAAAAGGACCATAAAGATTTCAAACACCCTTTCACTTAACCGGCTAGTACTTTATGCCTTCCATTTGCTTGATTTCTAATGTTTCTTAAAGAGGTAATCCAAAAGCCACAATTCTTTAAATATTTTTTCTCTTTTTTAGTTCAACAAGAAAGCCTCTATCGCGAACGCAAGAAAATCCGCAGCGCTTAAGGAAAACCCCATTAATTTTAGACTTTTCCTGTTAGTTAGAGCAAATAAATGTTAAAAAGTCATTTAAGCAAAACTTTTCATTATACAATACAATTGTTGGTTTTTTATAAACTTTCGGATTACATACATAACTAATACACAAATTCATCTTAAAAATGAGTACAAAAAATAATAATTGACTTTTGAATATTCTCCGGATCATGGGTTTCCATATCGTGCAGAATTGTTCACATGTTATACGCTTGCAGGATTTCACGCATCGAATGGCTCTTCGGTCATCAGGAGACCCCGTTCCCACAGAGCGGTGGCCACTTCAATTTTGCGATCCGTGCTTTTCATGGGCAACTGGCCAACCTTTACATACATGGGATAGGCGGCGATCAAGAGCTCTACCGCAGCCCCTTCGGCGGGCAGGATCTCCATGAAAACGGGCTCGTATTTGCAGTACTCGAGGGCATTGTCCACATGGTGGTAGATTCGCAGACCATCGTCCTCTTTAACGAGTCGCAGTATATTGGCTCGCAGCAAACGTACGGATGTCTCGGCGGTAAGTTCGTAATCGCAAATGCAGTTTCCCTGCTCATCGATTTGATTCCTCGAACCGAAAACGGTGCGCACCTTTTCATCTGGCAAAATAGTCGGCGGTAGGGCCTCGTGTTGGAACTTTTTGGCGAGCTGGTCCACCGCCTGATCAATATCCTCGGCTGAAGGCATCAGATATTTGCCAACTAACTTCTGAACACTATCTACCAGTTGGGTGCGCGACTGGCTCTTCTCGGAACTATGCGAATTGCCCAAGACCTGCCAGGTGTGCAGCGGCAAGCCGCGACGCAAGGCCACACTCTGTGTCACAGCCTTTTTTAGGACAATGGGCATTAGGGTTTCCAAGAGATTTGCATATGCCTGCTGCTGGTACACACTTAACGTGATGTGCAGCGAGTGGTGATCCTCCTGGCAAAGCGCCTGATGGACGGTGCCCCGGGGGAAGTACATTACATCGCCGGCCTCCAGGACCTCATCGAGTATCGGCTCGCCTAACTGCTCTTGCTCATAGTTGCCAGACGAAATCCTGGCCAGCACATCCGACTTTTCGGGCGGCTTGTACAACCGCCAACGCTTGCGTCCCTCGACTTGGATAACAAACGCTTCGATGTCATCGTAATGCGGCGCAAATCCCTGACTATTTGGCGGCGTTAAGTAGACGTTTGCCCCGACCAAACAGTGGAAGAACTCCTGCAGCATACTGCACACCTGTCTCAATCCCGAGAGATAGGTGGATGGATTCAGCAGACGAATGCTGCAGCCATCCGAATAGAAACCCCAAACAGTTGGCGGCAATGCCCTGCCGTCGGGGTTCAAAGTCTCGCGCTTGCCGTTCTTGTAGCTGGTCACATCCAGATTGACGGTGAAGTCTAGATGATTGCGGATCAGCATTTCATCGATCATGCGAAAGGATATGAGATCGCTAAAGTATTTTGGGTTCCTGCGCTGCACCAGGCAGGCGTTCTTCTCCCAAGAGTCCTCAAAAAAGTGTTCGGGTTGAACTGGATTGAGGATCCACCGCAATATGCGACGGCCTTCTTCGATGCTATTGGTTCGGTGGATTTCCTTTGGCAACGACGGCGTGGCTTCTTCTCTGTCGCAACGACTCCCCCATTCGACTTTTGAACTGGTATAGGGACCCTCCTCCTCGTCGTCCGGCTTCTCCTGCTTTATCGTACAGCTTTTGACGTTCTCCTTTTTGGCCGGAGGACAGGTTTTGGGTTTGGCTGGCAGAGGGCAGGATTTGGCGGGAGAAGGGGATTGCGAAGCTGTAGCTTTTGACGCTGGCAGGGATTTTCGCACCAGAGGACAGGCTGCAGCCCCACCGTTTACAAGAATTGGTGAAGTTTTCTCCAATCCTTGGCTGCGTCGTTGTTTGCTTTTGGAGGAGGTTACCTTTCCCTCTTTTTTATTATTGTTCGTATCTTCTGGCGGAGAGTCCTCTGTTTGATGATGTCTCTTGCGATCTGTTGGTCTGGCTGCCTTCGATTTGCCCTTCTTGGACAATGGTTCCGGTGAAGGATGACTTGACTCTTGACCTGATTCTCCATCAGAACCCGTGTTGTCTCCCAATTCAGACATCAAATAGCCCTCCAGTGTTTTGCGCCTTTCTTGCTGCTCCTTAGTTAGTTTTTTTGTCGGATCAAGTAGTTCTTCAACTAGATTATCTATATTCTCCATGTCGATGTCAGAATTAACTGTTTTCTTGTTTTTAGCTTTACCGTTAGTAAGGGTTTTGGACTTTTTGCGGCCGCCCTGGGCTTCAGTAGCCAAAGATGATGCCGCTTTAGGCATTTTTTGGGAGATATTCGAAAAAAATTGGGGAATGTAACGACGAGTATTCACAACTGACAATCGTCTCTGCAAAACAAAAGATATGAATCGGTTAATTGCGATTTTCGGGGCAAATTTTAAATATTTTTTGCACGTGCTTAGTTTTACAGCTATTATTGCCGGTCGCTTATCGATTTATAATCGATAGAAGTTGAAAAGGGTACAGTGAAACCAAGTAAACGTTACTAAATTATAAATATTTGTTTAGCATTACTTTCCTTTCCTTTTAGGAAAGAACCGTTTTCATATAAAGAAAGTTTGTTAAGTTCAGCCTTTTTCTGAATCTCGAACTTTTAAAAATGGTTTCAAAGTTTGCCGATAAACAAACGTTTTTTGACTGTCTGGCAGCCTTGTCTTAATCGCTTATCGATAAAACAAGCAGCTGATTTTCCCGGCAGATTTGTTAAGTTGCGAAATTAAACATATTGAATTATGTCCGAAACGGAGGCAGAAAATGTTGAAAAAGAGGCGAAACCGATGTCGCCGGCAAAAACTGACGCTGCTAAATTGTTGGAAACCACCGCCGCTCTTGAGGAGGACGAAGATTTGGCCAACATCGTGACCGCGGAGGAATATTTGATGCGCAAGGATGTGGTCCTCCTTGAATATGAAAAACAAATGTTTCTTGATCTGGTAACGGCGGACGGTCTTCTAGTTTGCGCCAAGTAAGGCATTCGAACTAAAGTGATGTGCCAAATTAATCCTGGGTTTCTTTCTCATAGGGGATTGAGTTACGAACGCGTTTTGATCAACATTTTAAAGGCCTACAGCGATTCTGGGAATTTGGTCCTCGTGATAAACAGTTCGGATTGGGAAGAACAGTATTACAAGTCCAAAGTGGAACAGAAATACGTCCACGAAGTAGCTAACACCGCGACCGAAAGGTAAACCTCTAATCTCTATAGCACTGTAGCTTTATATAGTTTCCGGGTTCCTTTTTTACTTTTCCACTTTTTATTTTTTTTTACAAATGCGTACATTTTTCTATCAATTTAAATTGAAATGTTTATCCCATAAAAAAAATTGTAGAGAGCGCGTTTATGTGGAAGGTGGCCTGCAGTTTATTAGCACCCGAATCCTGGTAGTGGATCTCCTAAAACAGCGCATTCCCATCGAGCTGATCAGTGGAATAATTGTCCTAAGAGCTCACACCATTATCGAGAGTTGCCAGGAGGCATTCGCATTGCGATTGTATCGCCAAAAGAATAAAACTGGATTCGTCAAGGCATTTTCAAGCAGTCCAGAGGCCTTCACCATTGGCTATTCGCATGTGGAGCGCACCATGCGCAATTTGTTCGTAAAACATTTGTATATTTGGCCGCGATTCCATGCCACTGTTCGTGGAGCTTTGCAGCCGTGGCAGACACAAACGATCGAGCTGCATGTTCCACTCAGCGAGAGCATGACCTCCATTCAATCGCACATCCTAGACATTATGAACTTTTTGGTGCGTGAGATAAAGCGGATTAATCGTACTGTTGACATGGATGCGGTTACTGTGGAAAATTGTGTCACGAAGAAGTTTCACAAGATTCTGCAGGCGCAATTGGATTGCATTTGGCATCAGCTTAATTCGCAAACAAAGTTAATCGTGGCGGATCTCAAGATTCTGAGGAGTTTGATGATGTTAGTTGTATTTGGTCATGTTTTTCTGTTTATTTAATTAATGTAGTTTATAGCTCCACCATGTATCATGATGCCGTAAGTGCCTATGCCTTGATGAAACGCTACCGCAGCACGGAATATGCTCTAAGCAACTCAGGATGGACTTTACTGGATGCTGCCGAGCAGATCTTCAAGCTTTCCAGACAACGTGTTTTCAACGGACAACAGGGTAAGCTACCCTACCCTACAATTTTCACCTTTTGCTCCTTATCTAATTTATGTATTTGATTAAAGAGTTCGAACCCGAACCCTGTCCCAAATGGCAGGCTCTCACGGATCTGCTCACTCAAGATATACCCGGTGATATGCGACGTTGCAGACGATCGGAGCAGCCGAAGGTTCTGATCCTCTGCCAGGATGCACGCACTTGCTTTCAACTCAAACAGTATCTCACGCAAGGTGGTCCTCGTTTCCTGCTCCAGCAGGCCTTGCATCACGAAGTGCCCGTGGGCAAGCTGAGCGATAAGTACACCAAGGAGGGTCAGTCAAAGGCAGCAGTACCTTCTGAAGGAGCTGTCACCAAAAAAGAGGCATTGAAGGAGGAGGTTTCTGGTTCGCAACCGCCACCAGCTGGTCTGGATGAACTGGCTCAGCTTCTAAGCGAATCGGATGCAGATGGCCAGCATTTCGAGGAGAGCTACATGCTCACCATGACGCAGCCGGTGGAGCAGAATGCCTTACTGGACATTAAATCCGATCCGGATTCCTCCATTTTCGAAGCCATACCAGATTTGGAGCAATTTGATGTGACAGCGGCACTTGCGACGGTGCCCCATCAGCCGCACATTTGTCTGCAGACCTTCAAAACCGAACGGGAGGGATCGATGGCTCTGGAGCACGTTTTGGAGCAACTGCAGCCGCACTATGTGGTCATGTACAATACGAATGTCACGGCCATTCGGCAATTGGAGGTATTTGAAGCCAGGCGCCGATTGCCGCCCGCGGAGCGAATGAAGGTGTATTTTCTCATTCATGCACGTACAGTTGAGGAGCAGGCTTATTTAACCAGCTTGCGTCGGGAGAAGGCTGCCTTTGAGTTGATTATCGAGACCAAAAGTGTGAGTTCGACTCAATTTGTAATGCTTTAGATTGCAGAATGCTTAAATATCTTATTTTTCCATAGAAAATGGTTATACCCGAGTACCAGGATGGCAAAACCGATGAAGCCTTCCTGCTGTTCAAGAACTACGATGATGAATTGGCCGGCGAGAATGCCAAGAGTCGGAAGGCAGGCGGACAAGAGCCGCCGGTGTCAAAAGAGACGCCCAAAGTCATTGTGGATATGCGTGAGTTTCGCTCGGACTTGCCGTGCTTGATTCACAAGCGTGGCTTGGAGGTTCTCCCCTTGACCATTACGATTGGCGATTATATACTCACCCCGGATGTTTGTGTGGAACGCAAGTCCATTTCGGATTTGATTGGTTCCCTCAATTCCGGAAGGTTGTACAACCAATGTGTGCAGATGCAGCGGCATTACGCAAAGCCCATATTGCTGATCGAATTCGATCAGAACAAGCCCTTTCACCTCCAGGGTAAATTCATGCTATCCCAGCAGACGAGCATGGCCAATGCGGATATCGTTCAGAAACTGCAGCTGCTCACGCTGCACTTCCCGAAGCTTCGACTCATCTGGTCGCCCAGTCCGTATGCCACCGCGCAGCTTTTTGAGGAGCTGAAGCTGGGAAAAGCGGAGCCGGATCCCCAAAAGGCCGTGGCCCTGGGCAGCAACGACCCAACGGAGGGGGAGCAACTGCATTTCAATAGCGGTGTCTACGATTTCCTGCTCCGCCTGCCCGGCGTTCACACGCGCAATATACACGGCCTGCTCCGGAAGGGCGGCAGCCTGCGGCAATTGTTGCTGCGCAGCCAAAAAGAGCTCGAGGAGCTGCTGCAGTCGCAGGAGAGCGCCAAGCTGCTGTACGATATCCTGCATGTGGCCCACTTGCCGGAGAAGGACGAGGTGGCCGGCTCAACTGCGATGCTGGCAGCTGGAAAACAATTTGGCGCCGGATCGCACAATCGCTTCAGGAAGGCGGCCGCCGAATCGCGAAGGGGTCGTCGATAGAGCACAAACACAAGTTAACTGCGGCGGGGAGGGGCGCATAAAACATAATGAAGGTTTATGTATAAACACGCCGCACATACTATGAATAATTTAATTTAAAAATTGCGTATAAATAGATGCAAAGAACAGGAGTCGGTGGAGCAGAGACAGCGGCAAAAGCAGGAGCACTAAAGTGCCGAGCAAACAGTGAACGCGCGAAATTATGGAAATTTTTTAAACGTTGCAATTAACTCGACAAGGGAACGGGATGAGGATGCAGATGCAGATGCGGATGCGGATGCGGACGAACATGGAAATGAGAATGAGGCGTGGCGACTGTCTGGCCGGCAGACAACATTGACAGTCGGGAAACAGGGAAGCAGCGCTGACCGCTGGGGATGCGACTGACTGCGACTGCAAACTGCAGTCGGTGTCACCGGGGATGGGCGCTTAAAAATCAATTTTCAATAAATTTTTAATTGCCCCCGCACTGGATGTCTGTGCGAATCCATCCCGAAGGATTACTTCGAGCGAAAAACCTGCAACATTAACAGCCAGACAATGTGATACAACCTATAAGCTATGAATGAAGTTTTTCACCAACAATTCACCTGAATGAAGTTTTTCACCAACAATTCACCTGCAAAACAGCTCCAGATTGAGATGTAAGTCATAAATGTATTCTCTTTAGATATCCATTGCGTATTTTCTTGGGTTACTATTATTTTTCTAAGATTTTTTATTTACTTTAAAATGGCTTTTTTGTTTTAATGATGTGATTTTAAAGGGTTCTTTTAAACAGTTAGCATAAGTGTTTCTCAAAACTTTAAATTTAGTGCAGGGTATCTGTATTCCAATGCAATTCACCAACTTCCCCTAATGTTTGCTCTGGCTCTCGCTTTCTGTTGCGGCTCATTGGTCAAAGCGCGCTTGGAGCGTGTTTCTGATTGCTGGCATTATCTCCGGGTCTGTCCGCCACCTCCTCGTGAATAGTCGGGCTAGTGAATGTGTTTGAGCAAATGCTGCATGCACAGTGCAAAGCCAATTGATATAATTCATCATATGAGAGTTCTAATCTGTTCTGGTAGGGAAAATTTATCACAAATTTTTAAAACTCCATGTTATAATATACAAGTCAACTTTATATATATATATATTAATATATTTAATATTTATATATTTAATATTTATATATTTAACATTTATATATTTAATATTTAACTAATCAAGGTCTGTCAGATATGTACAGCTACTTCTTAACTTATTTTTTAAATGATTGGGATTCAAAATTAAAATTAATATGTGGTATACATAAATATTTATATTTAAGTATAGTACCTATATATAGTCCGTTATTGTGTGCACTTTTCAGCGCAAGTGAATCCAAAACTTGGCTGCCGTTGGCGGCTGGTCTCTGGACATTGGGACTGGCTTTGTGGCCTTTCGATCCGAAACGATCCGATCCGGTGTGTGTCAAAGCATATTTGCCAATTGGCTGCGCTTTGTGCCCGGGAAAATCGGAAAATGCCAGCGGGCGAAAATCTGGGAGGAGGGAGGTTGAAAAACTCATGAAAGAAGGGGGGGAGGGGCGGCCGGATGGGGTACAATTAAAACTCCATTACAGCACTCTTGTCCTGCTACTGATTTCTGTTTGCCCGGGGTGTCGGTTTCGCCACTCCCCTTCTGCCCACTTTTCCAGATTCCATTTCCCTTTCCGACTTTCCCATTTTGGCCGCAACAAACGCTTCAATCAATGGGCAGCGGGGAAACCTGAACCGAAACCCCAAATCATTTAGCCCCTACGATTTTTTTCGCTCCCCCAATGACAACGTTAATTTTCACTCACCGAAGCCCAAATGGATCCTTGATTTGCCGCATTTTCTTTTTTGTGGCTAGTTTTTTGTGGTGAGGGATTTTCGGGGGCAAATCAATAAAGCAATAACAGTAAAGCAATAACAATAAATGATAATTACCAATATATTTTGTGTTATTTTTTTTAAACCAATTTTTATTAATCAACTTAATCCAAATATTAAGTTTTTTCGAAGATTGCCATCTATTTAGAGCTACAAGTGGTCTACCAAGAGATTTTCTTCGCATTGATAAGTTAAGCGAGGCATCACTTCCATAAGTATCCTTAAGGAAAACTTAAAGTGGGCAAATTAAGCAACACAAACAAATTCAGTCGAGTGCAAAATGAAATTAGCTGAAATTCCTTGAATTCAATTGAACAAAGTTGTCTCGTCTAATTCGATAATTGATCAAAATTAATTGCAAACTTTTTGCATACTTCACTCGAATTCATCCGCACAAAACCAATACGAAGTCCAGATTGGAATGGCAATGGCCATCAAATTAAAAGCCGCACCGTTGACCGCAGGCATCATTAAATATTGGCAGGAATTGTGGGAAATGTGTCTGAAATTGGCATCTGATTTGTTACGACGAGGAATTTATCGTCAAAATTGATTTTATAAAACTTTCGTTGCTTCGAGTTAAGTTTATCAAAAGTATTGGTAATTAAAGTAATAAAGTCCTGGAGCAATTATTTCATTTGGCATTTAGCATTTCGCACTTTCATTAGTCAAAGTCAAAGCCAAGAAAGGCATTTCTCCATCGATTTTAGCTTAATTTCATTAGGAGAAAAATTGTTGGGCAATTTGACATATTTTATGGCTCGCTGGCATTAGTAAAGCCTTTCTCGGCCGGGAAAGCGAGGAAAATGCATTTAAGAAATTCTGACAGCCAACGCACACAGGTGCACATTTTACCTTCATGCGCGTGTGGGTGACTACACTGTAAACAAAGTTGTGTTCCTTAAATCAACTTCATCTAACAAATTCTATGATTCCCATTTCCCTATCCTTTTGCTCATGATTTATGCAATTTCGCCTTGAATTTCTTTTCGATTAGTGCTTTAAATGATAGAGATTTTCTGCTCAGATTTTTCTGTATGTTACAAAGATTTCCCACTAAGCGCTCTTACCGAATTTCGATTTGCATCTAAGCCAAATGCAGTTAAACAGAGCATGATTCACTGATATATGTATATATACGTAAAAGGAATAGTACAGTAGTTCCTGGCTTAAAGGGGCGGAAGGGGGGACCCCGGCCGTGCCTTTTTCAAGGCAAGACTGCTTATCATAAATGACAAATCTGGAAGTGAATGCGAATGCTAAACGACCAACAACTAAATGGGCCAAAAGAGCCAGCAAAATGGGAATGGCTGGCGTTCCAATTTTCCCTGCATTTGGTGTAAATGTAAATGTAAACGATATAATCGCCGGTCTCCATCTTTTCCGGGGGGTGTGGGGTCCTTGGAAAATTACCGCCCGAATGGGGCAGCCAAATGGAAAACACTGAATTTCGGAAGCCAAAATAAACGAAAGCCATGAACCACAAGCCCTAAAACTTGTTTAGGGAGGAAAAGGCGGGTCTTAAAGTCTATTCTAATGGCTGAGTAACTCCCGATCGAAGAGTTCCTGTTGGTTTACTTTGCTGAAAGTAACCATTTGACTTAACTGAAATTGACAGTCTTGTTCCCAACGGACTTTTGTTCTCGAACAGGCAGCAAAATTAGGGTTGCGATAGCTTACAAGAGGTTAACAACCTACAAGTGAGTTTTGCAAACTTACAATTTTAAAATAGGCAATATTAGGCATATTTTTATTAGAAAATTATCATATTGTGAGTACTTCCCAAAAAAAAAAAAATCAGAGAGCCAACTTTCATCACTCGAAACCCCTCAGCCTTTTCGAAATTCGCTCAGAAATTTGGAGAGACCTAGAAACATTTTTAGGAATGTCCCGTTACCTGTACGCCGACCACATCTTGGAGGCCTTCAATGTCTTCCACCGACCTCTGGTTCTCGAAGAGGTAGCTGGATATGTGGCCGAAATGGAAGCGAAATCCATTGACGAGGTCCGATTGGCTGTGGATAATACGTTGACTGCCGGCTGGTTGCACGGTTTTCTTGCCATGGAGAATGGCATATACACTTTGATCTGCGGCTATTGGGATGAGGAGCAGCCGGTGCCGGGCAAAAAGAAAAGAAGGCACGCCACCAAACCGATGCTCCGCAGTTCCTAGTAGGATTAAGTCACTTCAGCAATCAAGAACAACTATTAACTATTCCGAAGTCCCATTGCAGATGATATATTCGAATCGACCGAGGAAAGCCACTACGGTTACCAGATCCTGTCTGCATTTAAGGTCCTGCGGCGACCTCTCTTGCTCCACGAAATCATGGACTATGTCGCCCGATCCGTCGGAGGGGATTCGAAAGAGGTTGGAAAGTCCGTAGAGGAGACGCTCTCCTTGGCCCTCAGACACCGCTTCGTTCACCGACAGGGTAATGGGCTCTACGCTCTGGAAAACAGCTTGCTAAACTCCGTTTAGTTAAGTTTGGGTCACCTCTTTGCCACCACAATGGAAAACTTGAACAAATTTAGCAGGAACACATTACAAAATTTACTTTCACCAAATTGAATTAGAAAGGATTACATTAAGGTTAAATAACAAAAACAACAACGAAGCTTGGTGATTTTTCTATTCATTTTCTACACTTTCGACTATTGTCGAAATTTTTATGACAGCTGTATGATAAAGTCGTCTGATTTTTATGAAACCTAATTCGAAATTCAAGAGTCGTTAGAAAACTCTATTCCTAAAAAATCATGTCTAATGAAAAACAACGATGTTATAAATTTATTTCCGTTAATTCTATAATAATTTTTCGATCTTTCCTATGACATATATAGTTTTTCGAATTTTATGAATTTTTTTTTAAATAAAAAGGTAGACGATTTTCTAAAAATCATGCTTGTGGGATATCATCATCATCATTATCATTTTTTTTAAATTTATATATATTTTTTCGATCTTTTCTATGGCAGCTATGTATATGATATAGCTATCCGAATTCGATAAAATTTAATTGTTGTAGTAGTTTTGGCCGCAGTTAGGTGATTTTTTCAGCATCGAAAGCTTAGAGCCCCTTGTCACCAGGATTCATCCGGCGTCATGCGGCACAAGGGCAATTGTCCGACATGCTGCCTTTTTGTTTGCTGCGGGCATCGGGGAGCTTGGTGCTCGGATCCGGGTTAAGTGACCGCTGCGGGACCCATTTGGTGACCCAGTTCGTATTGATTTCAGCACTGGAAGCGAGCCCATCCCCATCCCCATCCCTTGGCCACCCATCGTCATGTCCGCGGTGTGAACAAAGCACAAACCGTTGGCTTTTATTGTTTGCCAACCGACGACCGGAGAATTCCCCAAAGTCGCCGACTGAGTTCCCATCGAGATGGAGTCTCCGATAAGCTCGCACCTATGCAGCCCCAAATTGGGCTGTCAGTTGTCTGTGCTTGTGTGCGTCCGATGCCACTGAGCGAATAATATAGGTAGAAACTAATGTATTTCGTTAGTGCTTAATTCCAGTTATTTTATAATTGCTATTAAGCGTTTACACTTGAATGAATCTTTTGATATACGTGTATAAAAATATATATTACAAATAATAAATATCTATTATAAATTGATTTTAGTAAATAGTACTCAGGTGATAGCTTAAGGTATAATAAAAATATAATTGAAATAATAAGGGATAGTGTTTCTCAATGCGAAAGTCGCACACTCACATTTGCGGTTAAATAGGAACTGCGCCAACTTATAGGACAGCCAACTTCTTCATCCGCTTTCACTGCCGCCGTTGGAAGGACATTCACCACAGGCACCACAGTCACCAGTCACCACCCCCTTTTGCCGAGCAAGGGTCCCCCTTGCAGGACGCCCCTGCCTTTTTCGTGTCCTGTCTTTTGGCATTCGCCGAAACTATTAAATCACATTTTACGAGCGTTAAGTGCACGATTAAAAGCATTTCGTTAATGTGGAAAATGTGGCGCTGTCTTGGCTCCGACTTGCTACAACGCCCCGTGTACTTTGACCCCCCTCTCGCCCTTTGACCCCCCCTCTCCCCGAATTCTCCCCGATTCTGCAACCCCCCTCGCTTGCCATTGTGATGTAATTTAATTTTCGGCTGGCAGGGCGCGCATTGCTTTGCCTACACCTTGGGGCTACGCTTTTGGTCCACTCCACAGTTGGCATAACATTGGATTTTCGGGCACTCAAAGTGGGCATTATCCTGGAGGACAAGCGCCCATTATCGTGGGTCTCCTAAGTGTCTTTTCCGAGAGAAAAACAAACTAAATCGATTATGCTTTGATTTAAATTCCCATTAAAAAGTTGTCTCGGGGCTAAAACCTTCAGATTGTGCCTTAATCCCAGCTTAGGTTGAATTATTTTTGCTGGTTTAGGTACTGCTAGAATGATTCATTTACAGATTATAGATAGAATAATTAAATATATAAAGTCAATTAAATCCGGGATTTATTAAAAAGTACCTTTTATATTATAATTATAACAAATTCTCCGGAATTTATAGGCTTTTTGAGATGAAATCACCGAATGCAGGTCCCGCTGGCAATGTAAGATTACTTCAAGTCTTCCCACCTCGTTAGGTCACCATTCCCCCATCGGGGTCACCAACACAAAAAAAAATACCCCCTCCTTATTTGCAATCGTCTTCATTAAGAGTAAAACGCAAACTAAGTAAGTAATATGAGCCTTAGTAGGCGTGTGAAGTGCTCACTTGACGAAGGGCGGCGATTGCGGGTGGTGGGTGGTGGAATGCATGTCCCCTCGCTCACCCCCACCCCTAACCTCCCATCCACCACCCCCCCATCACTCCTCACGCACTCGCCTAAGTGCGGAAACATGTTCAAGTGTGTTGGAAAATGGAAAGCAATGTGTTACTTTATTTCCTCTTTCTTCCGATTTTTCATTTTGATTTTTCATTTTCCCTTTGCCTCCTTTCCTTTGCTCATCGTTCGCAGTGACGTCACGCCCGCTTAGGTGTGGGCGTGGCCGATTTGCGGGCGGATGGCATTTGACGGTTAAATGTCCCCTGCTATTCTAAGAAAAAAACAAAAGATCAAAAAAGGAAAGGTAACAAGAGGAAGGCATGTGCAAAAAAAAAAAAAAAAAAAAAATTTCCAACAGGAGGAATGAGATTAAAAATGTCTGAAGTATTTGGGAAAACTCCTTAAGCTCAAAACTAATTTTTTAAGTTTTTTTTAAACCTTTTTTTTAACCTTTCACTCAATATCTAATTGAACTTTGAGTTATGCAAACCTTAAGGAGACACCAAACTTTCGATCTACCCTCGCTGCAAATGCAATGGGGGCATATATAGCCTTAGGTCCTGGTTCCTCGACTTCCACTCGTCCTTCGTCCTTTTTGCGAATATGCCAGCGCTTCCGGCGTTCTTCTGATGGCCTGCTGTGTGCTTTGATTTTCGGGGACGAGGGATCAGGATCAGGAGAAGGCGAAGGCAAAGGATAAGGATAAGGAGCAGGACCAGGAGCAGGAGCAGAAGGAGGAGCGTTTTACAGGGCCTTAAAGGCGAAACATTTAGTTTGTTGCATGTTTGGACATGTTGCTCGCTGTACGTGACATTTTGCGGAAATGGAAACCAGCCAGAAGGCAGCAACAAAAGGCACAACAAGGGCGACAGAGTCCACCGAGCGAGGATAAAGCCAGAGATGAAGATGCGAGCGATTCCTTATAATTTGCATTGAAGTTTTGATTGCCACACAGAGAGAGATAGAGCAGCAGGGGAGGGGAAGACAGATGCACGCCCCAAAGGAAATTCACAAAAAATATGGAAAACAAAGCTCTAACTCAAAAGGAACACAAGCGGCAAGGATAAAGAAATCAAGACTGTCCTCCCACTATAAAAGCTTTATAAAAGCACAAATGAAATGCGTTTGCCTAAAAGAATTCTACTGAATTTTCTAGTTCTTGTATTAAATATTTTGGCCTCCGGAATCAACAGTTCTGCAAGCTAAATTCAAGGTCCTGCTTTTCTGTATCCCCCTGTTTTTTTTTGCCGCACATAGGGACTGGCTTCAGCATAGAAGGAAATTAAAGTTTGCCTCCGCCGGACATCATCAAAAAGGTAAGTTTATGTGCAATCACAGATTGCCGTAAACCGTCTAAGTAATGAAGGGCCGGAGGATGATTTTAATCGAAGGGATCAGGCGCAGGGATCAGACGGCACACGACCCAGCAAAAGCGTAACCAATTCGTTTTCCGGCCAAGTTAGTGTTGCCCAATTCCGATGGGAACCGCATGCACTCTATTCTTTTATAATATAATAATAATAATAATTTTCTTCAAATAAGGAATGTGTATTAATTGATTGGTTTAAGAAATGTTCAAAGAATTATATATGTAGTTTTAGGGGTTATCAAACTGCTCTCTCCTATATTATGTTTTTCTGTTCAACTCTAGTGTAATTTTTTTTTTTTTGACTTTTTTTGCGCACTTTGCCTTTTTCACCGGCGACTGTTGGTATTTCTGGGTTTTGTGCTGTTTCTGCTGTTCGTGCCTGGATTGTCCGGCAGTGGCTAAGTCTTAAGACCCATAAAACCCATGTAGCATAACTAATAGGTCTTTGGCCAGGAAGTTTTGTTTATTCTTCGCTTCGCCTGGCTTCCATTCTCCCCTCTCGCCTGTTTGCCCTCTTCAACGATTGCAGTTCAATGCACGAGCGTTGAAATTGTTTTCATTATTTCATTTCATTTGGCCCGTGCCATGTGCACCTGTGAGTTATTGGCCAGGTATCGAGCCGTGGATTAAAGCCAAGCTGCCAACGTTCCAATCCCCCGGAAAAGCGGAGGAAAACACCACCTCCCCCACTCCACCACCACCCCCTTTACGGCAAGCTGTGGCAAAAAGTATGAGCCATTAAATAAATACCCGTTCCAATCCGAAAGGGCAAAGAAAACGCCACGGAAAGCGTTGCTGGGGGGAAAAAAATGAAAAGAAAATATTGCATAATGGAAAAATGTCGCCAAAGAAGTTCAAATAAAAATGCATAATTCAAACTTAATGCAAACCATGCGTGAGTAACAGAGATGTTATATAATCACGTGCAGCCCAAGATGTGATTTCTTGTGAAATCGCACACAATATATAACAAATGTTCTCTCTTAAATTTAAATGTTGGTTTTTAAAGCTTTATAGAAACAGAAATATTCTGTATTTTGTTTTTACCTATTCTTTAGGTATTTCTGTAAAATCTGTAGAGATGAAGTATAAATATTTTTAGGGAAGGAATATTCTATTTGTTAGGTAGAGTTGTCTTCCAAGGTCCTTGCCATCAGCTGTTCACTGTGATCGTCCACCAAAGGTTTTTCTCATTGGCGGAGGTGCATTCACACACCTGTGTGTTTAAATCAAATATTGGCAGGTGTACGTGCATGTAAGCCGTGAATTATGCATGTGTGCGTGTGCCTGGCGAACGCCGCTTGAGCATAAATAAAATAATTGCATATGTCGCGTAACGCAGCTCACCTGTCCACCCATCAGCGATTTTGCCCAAGCAGTTTCCACATTAACAATATGGAATTTATAAAGCGAATTTATCTCCTCAAAACAGAGGAATATCTATTAAATCAATTTACTAGTTATTTAAAACCTTCCAACCAGATAGTTGTTAGGTTAACAAACCAGTCGAACAACCTGCTATTAATTACTATAAAGCCCAGTTGCATTTCACTTAATTTGTGGAAAGTTCGAATTTATTTTCACTCGCTGAGTTTC